TTCAGTCACTAAAAGCTAACAGTTACTAAAAAGCTCACAAAAGTATCTTTTCAGCTAGTTGTGTCAAACATACCCTTAATCCCAAAAGAATTTGGAGGATTAACATGAATCGATTCATGATATCATGCAGTACGAAAAAGAGAAGAAACATAAAGAAAAAAAGATAAGATAACATGGATAAGATAAAGATATATACTACCTATAAGATAACAATAACATAAGAATATAAGAAATACTCCCTCCGCCCCGCTATGATTGTCTCATTTTACCTTTTCGGTCTGTCCCGCTATGATTGTCTCGTTTTACCTTTTCGGTCCGTCCCACTATGATTGTCCTATTTTTTGTGGTAAATGCAGGCCTAATTGTCATTCAAAAAAATTTACTCTCCAGTCTAGTAGGCATACCTCGATCGCATAGAAATTCTAATGCACTTTTCCATTTCATCCACCCAGCTCTGATTCTATGAGATACATATCCATCTAATTAACCATCCTTCTGAATTATAGAGCCTAAGTAACGGAAATATCACACACCGGTATCTCCTTATCATCAAGAGTAATCCCACTATTACAATTACTTCTATCTCCACCAAACTTGCACTTCATATACTCAGTCTTGCTTCAGCTTCGTCTGAACCCTTTGGTCTCCAATATTTGTCGCCATACATCTAACTTTGCTTTAACACTCGATTGAGTCTCATCAATCAATACCAATACCATATCGTCAGCAAACATCATGCACCGTAGTATATCTTCTTGAATTTACTTCGTAAGTTCATCCATGACTATAACAAATAAGAAAGGACTCAGAGCCGATTTTTGGTGCACTTCGATAGTAATAGGAAACTATGCAGTCCTCTCTACACTAGTAATGACACTTGTAGTACAAGCCTCATAATATCCATGATGATATTTATTTACTTACGTGATATGCCTTTTCTAGTTAAGGCTCACCAAAGAACCTTCTGAGGTACCTTGTCATATGTCTTTTCTAAGTCAATGAACACCAAATGCAGATCCTTTTTAGTGTCTCTATACTTCTCCACAACTTGTCCAAGAAGGTGAATGACTTCAGTTGTTGAGAGTCCATGCATAAAACCAAATTGATTCTCCGAACTTTCGCACTTTTTCGAAGTTTTTACTCAACTACTCACTCTCAAAGTTTCATGGTGTGACTCGATCATAAGCTTAATCCCTCGATAGTTGGCACATTCTTATACATCGCCCTTATTGTTAAATAGAGGAATGAGGGTACTCTTCTGCCAACTCACTGACATTTTGTTGTTGATCCAAATCATGTTGAAGAAACGTGTTAGCCACTTGATTGCCTTCTCTCTCAAACTTCTCCAAACCTCGATCAGTATTCCATCTGGGCCCACTACTTCCTTCCTCCCATCTTTATCAAGGCCTCTTTAACTTCTGTCATTTGGATCCTTCTCACAAAGTCCCGATTTACAATACACTCTGATTTATAGTAAGATCATCAATATCTTGCACTTTATTCCCGTTGAACATGGCATCAAAGTATGACCTCCAACTCTCTCTTATTTCCTCGTCCTTCATTAGTACTCTTTGATCGACATCCTTCACAAACTTAACTTTTTCGATGTGTTGAGTCTTACGATTGTGAAGACGAGCTAGTCTTTAAATATCTTTTTCTCCTTCCTTAGAGTCCAATTTTACAGACAATTCCTTGTTCACTTTCAATTCCCTCTTGCTTCCTTTACAGTTTTCTTTGATTTTCTTCTAGCCTCCTTATACTCCTCTCTATGTTCTCATCGCTCCAACTATTGCCCAACTTTTTGTACCATTCCCTTTTTATCTTTATTGTTTGTTTCGCCTCATCATTTCATTAAGATGTGTCCTTTTTGGTGGTAGACATCCTTTAGATTCTCCGAGTATCTCCTTCATTACTTTGCTAATGGTAGACCACACATTATCCACATGTGCGTCATAATCACTACACCATACATCTCCTCCAATATTTCTAAAAGTCAAATTGAATAAATTTACTAGATAAAATTGAATGAAGGAGTAGTATAAGGAGGCTAGAAGAAAAACAAAGAAAACTGTAAAGGAAGCAAGATGGAATTGAAAGTGAGCAAGGAATTATTTGTAAAATTGGACTCTAAGGAAGGAGAAAAAGATATTTACATAATTGCTCATCTTCATGATCGTAAGTCTCAACATATCGAAAAAGTTAAATGTGTGAAGGATGTCGATCAAAGAGTTCTAATGAAAGACGAGAAAATAAAAGAGATGTCATACTTAGATACCATGTTCAACGGGAATAAAGTGCTTGTTTCACCTCATCATTTCATCAAGATGTGTCCTTTATTGTGGTAGACATCTTTTAGATTCTCCGAGTATTTCCTTCATCACTTTGCTAATGGTAGACTCCATTGATAATCACACATCATCCACATATGTGTCATTATCAATAATCATACATCTTCCTCAAATATTTCTAAAAGTCAAATTGAAAAAATTTACTAGGTAAAATTGAATGGACGATCAAACCCAGTGATGAGTTAATAATGACTTTCAAGCCTGCTATAATCATTTTGGATAATGCTAAAACTCTAGTAAAGTGAAAATATAATGATTATTGTTATTTGTTACTCATACAGTCATACTGAATGGGGTCGTGGTAGTTATCAACAATAAAATCTTTAATGGTCTTCAACGACTTGAATAAATGACCGTTTATTTTTATATTTTTTGTTTTTATGTTTAAGAGGTCGTTTGGCAACATTGTTCTTCGGCTTATCAGGCTCATCAGCCAACTTTTTCATCAAATACATAACTTTTGCTTTCGCGTACTGAATTGTGTAATAAGAAGAAAAAGTAAGGTTGAAGTTACTTTTCTGGCTGTATTGGCTGAAGTTACTGTAGATGACCATTTTAGCTATTTTTACATATAATTTTAATTTATTTTATTAATAAAATATATTTTAAAAATAATTTTTTCTTAAATCATCAGAATTAGCCAATGCAGCCACATTCAGTCAGAACTTCATAAATTTCAGTAGAATCAGCCAAATCAGTCGATTTTCGTGCTATCAAATGAGCTCTAAATGAATCACACATATTGTTGCTCTATTGGAGTGTTTGAAATTAATTATGTATCTGCTTTTTTATGTAGAAGTAAAATAAGAATTAATTGTATCTGCTTTTTTATGTAGAAGTAAAATCAGAATTAAAATATTAGACGATAGTCTCCCTCTTTTATTAAAACCGCTCTGAGATCAATTTGAACCAAAGTAGATATGCATTTCTAATCAAACACTCTAATATCGCAGATTATACCGTGCGACCGGCGCACCATGAGGATGGTGTGCCCGGTCGCAAAACGGCGATCGTTCCTCCCTCTCCAACTACTTTCGCCTAAACCAACAGCGCTCTCCTAGCCCCTGCCCACCTGCCATCGCCACCTAGCCGCCCCAAACCTTCACAGCGCCCAGCACCTCGCCCATCCACCTGCAGAATTGTTGCCCAACACCATCCCACAACCACAACCCCCTTGTGCAATCCCTGCAACTGCCGCATCACACCACCACAACCCCAGCTGCCTCACGCAATCACAGGTCCAGACCATGCCCCATTATATTCATTTGTGTGTGTGTGTGTGTGTGTGTATATATATATATATATATATATATATAATTATATATATGGAGTTACATCTCTGTAAAAACGTTTTACATTTCAATAGCCTAAAGTTACATGTCCCAAATTACATCTAATTTGTTCCCCAAGTTACATTTCAATAAAAGCAGTTTACATTTTAACGAGTTACATGTGAATGAGTGCAATTTACATTTTGATTAACTTGAAGTTACATCTCGAATCACACGAGTTACATCTCATATAACCATGGGTGCATGGTGCTCACCATGCACCGGTTGCACGGTATAAGCACTGCTCTAATATATTTTTCCGCTCTTTAATGTAATTGAAGCATTTTTAAGTACATTCACACATCCCCTATACCGCTATACCTTTATTTACAAATTACAACTTGTATCGGGAATATTTTAATAATCCAACTTCTTATTTGGTAACTGTTATTTTGGCTTATCAATTTAATGAGTCAATTTTTTGTCAAACGTATAACATCTAATAAAATATTTTGAATGGTGTAATAATAAGGAGGAAAGTAATGTTAAAGTTAATTTTTTTGGTGAAATTACCGGAGATGGCTATGATGTTATTTTTCATATATTTTTTTTCTTTGTTTTATTGGTAAACACTATTTTAAAAATATTGTTTATATATATTTTGTGTTATCAATAAAAATTATTTTTATATATTATTTTTAGTAACAAAAATATGAAAAATCCCTTAATATTACTCTTTAAAATATGATGAACAAAAATATTATTTAGCAACCATTAGTGACTATAATTGTGCTCAAAGTTTACATCGTAGTAGCTTACATGTATTTACTACGATGTAAATATGAATACAATTATGATGACTAATTGAAATAATAGTCACCACATATAGTTATTTATTACTAAGTAATATTTTTGTCCATTACCTTTTTATTAGTAATGTTTAATAAATAAAAAAATCCCCAAAAAAATATATATGTAGTATATTTTAAATATAATTTTTTCATAGTTTAACTGATTCAATCAATTTGAATGTTAATTAGTTTTTTTTTTACTTCTATTCGTTACATATAATTTTTATTTGAATGTAATATTTTATTGATGAACTATATTTTAGTTTTTTTCATAATTCTGCAGATTCAACCAATTTCAACGGGATGGACATATCCACTTGATTCAGAATTTCATAAATTTCAACTGAATTAATCGATTCAGTCAATTTTAGTGTTAATAAAGGGAAATAAAAATAAACATGTGATGTTGCACTACTCTACGTACTATTTTAGGCTAGACACTATATGTTAGTGCTAAGGGAATATCCCAATAAAAGAACAAGACTAGTTCGAAAAAAGAAAACTACAGACATAGAGCATAGAGCCATTGAGGGCATATAAGAAAAGGCAGTAATAACTAATAATAGTTGTTTAAAAAAATAATTATGGGGATAAAATGTACCCAGTAATTCAACACGTTTGCTGATACTTTTAACTAAAAAATATTGACCGGCTGATTAATTTATAGTCTGTATACATTAATTAATTAAGAAAAAGGATTAAAAACCCATAAGACCAGCTAATAATAACTGGCAGTACAAAACAACAATAAGCATCGGCATATAGAGCTAATTAATCCTAATGAAAGCGAGTGGGCGGCCCACAAAAGGATGACGTCACATAATCTCTCACTTCCTTAGCGATCACCTCCCTCATCAAATCCCAAAACCCCGCCGGCAAACTCTCCGACCGCCGCTCCGGCACTCCGGGTCCGCCCATCCCCGGCGGCGCCAAGGATAAGGCTGTCATGGGATCATTGTACACGTCATCATCCAAGTGGCCCATTGGCGGAAACACCCTATTGCAACAGCTACCGGTAATTTTATTTACCATTTTACCCTCACCGGCGTTAACATTCAAGAACGCCGCCGAGGTGACGCCGTCAGAAACTTCCGTCAAATACTGCTGCTGGGGGTGGTGGAGGTGGTGTTGGTATCTCCTTTTTAACGTGGAGTTCCAGTGGTTCTTGACGGCATTGTCCGTCCGGCCGGGGAGCAGGCGGGCAATGGTGGCCCACCGGTTGCCGTACTTTTTATGGGCGGCCAGGATGGTCTCATCTTCCACCGGAGAAAACGGACGGTGCTCGACGGTGGGGCTGAGCTGGTTGCACCACCGCAGCCGGCAAGACTTCCCGGACCGGCCCTTTATGTACTTGCTGATCAAGGACCAGTTCCGCGGACCGTACCGGTCCACCAGCCGGGTCAGAATCTTGTCCTCCTCCGCACTCCACGGCCCTTTGATCCTCTCGAGCCTCCTCCGGCCGGCCTTTCCGGCGCCGGCGGAAAGTGATGACTCCGACGAGGATGAATCCGAGGTTGTAGAAGAAGTTGATGAGCTCCGGTTAATTAATAGAGCTTCCATTAAATTAAATATCAATAAATGAAGTAATTTAACTAACAAAAACAGATTAAGAGCATGCCATTTTAAGAGCAAGAATTGTACTTGGTACTATGTTATTGTTGGAGGAATAAATGGATGATTTCACCGACATTTGTTTTTCTTGGGAGTGGCCGGGCCGGTTTAATTGATCGGCTGATCGAATGCTTTGGCGATTGGGTGATACATATATATAGAAAAACAAAGAAGATCCTATAGAGGGGATTGTACTCCTATAGTCGTATGATATATGTACAATGAACGTACACTTTAATTTGTAAAAGTTACTACGTATATGAATAAAATCAAAGTCCTCCGTCTATTTGGTAACACTATATCATAGATTAAATCCAGGCGGGATCTGGTGAAACTTATGAAATACTAGTTTAATCTACCGAATTTGCTAAATTATGAGAAAATTAAAGTTAAAATATATTTTATTAATTGATTAAAGGAAAAATTACATAAAATTACTAAAATGATCTTTTATAGTTACTTCACTTAAAAAGGTAACTACGGACAATTTTTACATATTTTGATTATTATACTACTCAACGTATGAAATCAAAAGTTACATGGTTGACTCACAAAATTGACTCAAAAATTGATAAGTTACATGTTTATACCATGTTTAATACTCCGTTCTCTAATAGATGAGAGTATAGTCTTTGGCACAAGATTTTTGAAGAAATTAATATGGATAAGATAAAGAGTGTAGTGAGTTGTGTGTAAAGGAAAAAGTAGGAAAGAGAATGAAAAAGTAAGAAAGAGAATGAGGTATATAGGTATATTTATTGAAAAAACTTTCTAAAAATGGAAAGAGAGACATGTATTAGAGAACATCCCAAAATGGAAAAAGAGACACGTATTAGAGAACGGAGGGAGTAAATATTACACCACAAAATTATATGAATCATTTATTCTTATCCAAATGGACAAAAACAATTAGTTTAGGACATTTTAAAAAGAAATAAAGATCACTACATGGAGATGACGATCGAGCAGTAATAATAATAGAACTAAATTGCTTTGGTTTGCGCCTTTGCGGTGCATGCACTCCCCCACTTACGACCAAACCTTTCTACAAAGCGATTACTTTTTGACTCCGTTCCGAATTTGTTTCTTTTTCTTTTAAAAAATGTATGTTTGACATAATATAATTTGTCAATCAGAGGGGATCATACATTAACTATACTTTTTAAATCAGTATATTAAATTAAATTATCAGTATATTTACTATAACATCATTCCACAAACTTTACTTTAATTTGTATCCCAAATGTTCTATTCACTCTTCTTTCTGGATGTGCTAAATGTTATTCTTACGTGCACCCTCTCATAGAAAAGTGTTTTTTAGGTTTAACACGGAATATATCATTTCTTTTCACATAAATTTCAACAATTACATAATTGTTACGGTAAAATTAGTATATATAAAAAGAAAAACAGGACATTATGAAGTAAAAATGTCATTTTATATCATCAAATATTCAAATATAATGATAATATTCATTTAATATTCACTTTAAAATCAACAAATGTGGAATTTAATTGTAGCTGATGCACAAAAAAGTAGAGGAGGATTGCTCGGATCACTAGTGATATCGTTGCAACCAAAATTGTGTCAAGCTAGTACGTGATATTCTCAACTGTTAAGGCTTTAGCTATGCGCGTATGCTATAGATTATTCTCATAAAACTCACTGATACATAAGAGTGAGGGATAATGTATTCTTTTCTAACCTATAAAAAAGTTGCAGTAATAAGGATGTTTTTATAACTAAAAGTGTTGGTCTGGTTTGATCAATCTAGTCTGGTCTGGGTTGGTCTAGTAAACGTCTAATCTCTGTGTATTATATAACTATCCAAGTCTGATCTGATCTGATCTGATCTGATCTAATCTGAGACGAAAAACAATCCAAATAAAAACATCCTAACATGCCCTACGTATCTCCGTCAAATAATTGTAGTTTGATTTTATCTTTCATATCACAAACTAAGCGGCTAAATTCTACTACGATATGTTACACTCTATACTTGCATTTTTTTAATTTTATTTTTTTATTAGAACTGAGAGCCCGCTTGGCGATCTTGTGTTTTGACATATCACCCTTATCAATTAACTTTTTTTTATCAAAGTCGTAACTTTTAATTTCATGCGTTGAATTGTAATAAGAAAAACAAGTAAATTTGAGTTACTTTTATTGTTGGATTGACTGAAGTTACTATATAAGGTCGTTTTAGCTATTTTCCATATATAGTTTTTTCTTCGTTTCATTGACTAACTATTTTAGCATAACTGTGAAAAAATCATATTTTAAATATGATTTTTTCACAGTTATGCTAAAACAGCTAGTCAAGTCACTCTAACCAGATCGAACTTCATAAGTTTCAACAGAATCAGTTAATAATTTCGGTTTACTAAACGGGTTGTAAATAAATACTACGTATTATTTTGAAAAATAAAATGTATTAGTCCTAGCCTAGAACTTACTCCCGATTTGATCTTCTTAGTTTGCAGATTGCAATTGACCTAAAATATAACACTACTTTGCCATTGACCTAAAATGCATATGGTATATTAGGGCATTTAGGGGTGCGGTATACTTTTCATCCCCTTGTATTTAATCTTCCCCAAGTACATAATGATGTTTTTAGTTTCCGTACGTCGTTATAAATTTCGGAGTATTAATTGATTTTCTATTTAAAAAAGCACACTTAAAATACTCAACTTGCCCACTTTTGACCTTTTATCCCCTCTAGCTTTGTGAGTCGTTTCTCTACCCATCCACCTAAAAGTTTCTTACGGAGTATTAAAAATTCTAAATAACGACCAATTTAAACTAACATTCCCATCCATTGTAACGGAGGATAATGAGCGAGTTACGGAGTTAGGTAACGGGCGAATGAGTAACTTTTTAATTTCATCACTAGAATTTGCCGTTGGTAACTTGCTTGATTCTAAACTTCTAATTAAAGGGATGGTGCATTCTGAGAAAGTTCGTAGTGCATGGGTTGGCAGGGGCAGGAAGTTTCAACTTTTAACTGAAAGTATGGGTTCATCCGAAAACCAGTTGTCATCCACTCAACCTATACTCTTCTGTCTCATAACTAAAATATCCTTTTTGTGCAAATTACTTATGACTATACTCTCTCCTAGGGGTGGTTCGGTACGGCATACCTTATATTTTTTCTCATACCTTTGCTGTACCAAAACTTTCGGTATGCAAAAGTTGCATACCTTTACCTTACCGAAGTTTCGGTATACCGCATTTCGGTATACCGAAGTTTTGGTTCGGTAACGGTACGGTATCGGTAAATTACCGTGCATGTCTCCCAATACAAAAAATTATCATAGACTAATGAAATATACTAAATCGTTATTACTAGCGACATATTAAATCTATTATTAAAATGTTACGAAATACAATTAATAATCTATTGATGTCAATTCAATATTGAGCAATAATTATTATTAGTATATTTAAGCAGTTCAACATACGACATATTAAAAAGTAACACATTCTCCTAAAATAACTTGAACAATATAGATATAATTAAATCAACAGTGATCTCTAACAAAAATAAATAAAACTATTCAAACAACATGGATACAAAATCATTTATTCCTAATATGATATTGTGTATTTAGTCATTTTTATAATTTTTTAAAAATTGAATAAGACTTTCGGACAAAGTTGTGTGTCTCGACTCGCTGAATCCCTATGTAGATACACTTGTCACATAAGTGTATCTATCTTCACTCGTCAGCTACTTAGCGGCCCAACCATCACGACTTGCAAGCTCTTGGAACAAGATGGACTTGTTTCTTGACATTTTTACATTACTCATTAGTCATTTAAGGTTAGCGTAGTAGAAGCCTATAAGGTTATAGTGAGTTTGAGAAATTGGGCCTTTATTTTTGTATTTTTGTATTTGTAACCAACTTAAGTATTAATTTTGGGCTTCAAAATTGTAATGGATTTCTACAATATATTAGAATTAAAAGTACTTGTTGAGTAGGGAGTCGGTACGGTATTATACCGGTATACCGCGGTATTTGAAAACATTTACCGTTACCGTACCGAAATAGACCGGTACGGTATGATACCGTACCGAAAATGACGGTATACCAATATTTCGGTATTTTCCGGTATTTTCCGGTACGGTAAGTGCGGTATACTGATATTTCGGTATTTTTGCCCACCCCTACTCTCTCCTTGTCTCTTAACACTTTGTCAACTTTTCATTTTCCCATTAACTTTGTCATTGCAATTTTCCCTTTTAAGTAAAAAATTTATGGTTCCAGAAAATTTTCTTTCTTCTACACAAACCTCAGTCACACAGCTTTTATTTTAGTAATCCTCGTGCCGGTCAAACTTGGTAAAGTTTTAAGGGATGGAGGTAGTAATTTATATACTCTTTACCTCGGATAAAGTTCTTTCTGATTTGACTTAGATCGAAATTTAAAGAATGAGAATAAATTGAAAATATGCGATTGTGATTGAATAAGAAATAGATAAATGAATGTTAGTCGCACAATACTTTCTATCAAGAGAAATGAGAAGAATTTTTGAGAATGTTCAACAAAGATAAGTGAAAAGAGCTTTAGGGGAAGGAGGGAGTATATTTAAGCGTAGACATAGTTTGATGCAAATTATACGTTTACCAAAACACAACGTTGAATGTCAATATACTTAATTAATACAGTATCAAAAAACAGGAAAAACAAATTTTGAAAAGTTGTAATAAGTCATTCAATTTTTTAAATCTCATATTTTAATAAATAAAATGAATAGTGTAAAATTTAATATATTGCAACTAAAAAGAAAGTAAGGATAGTAATTATATTATTATCATTACTTCATCCCAAGAGTTCTGTTTCCCTATTTAATTATTACGAACTAATACTTAATTTATGTATATAGTAATGAGTTTTTAATCTCTAAATAAGACTAAGGCACGATTAAACTATAGTGCTTTATGTTTTCTAAATAGGGCTGAATATTACCCCATATATTTTTACTTTTAATGTAATTGATTAATATAATTAATTGTCCTTGTAGTTCTCTCAGCATAATTAGGGCAGTAAAATAATGACATAGGGTGTGTTTGGCAATCGGCGGTCAGCGGTCAGCGGTTAGCGGATTATGTTAGCGGGTTGTTAACAGCGGATTCTGTTAG